TCTACAGAATTGAATATCGCCTCTTGGAAGAACGGGGTTGGGTCAGTCTCATTCATGATAATCACACGGCCACGTGACAAACACGCGTGACGATGTTATCATCAAAATATTCAGAGACTGAAAAACCAGCATTCAGTTGCTAAACCTTCGAAATAAGGGAAGTAGTACAGCGCAAATTGTAATATACGGAAGGCGATGTTAGGTGATATATGTCTTAAGCAATTATTTAAACTAGCATGATCTTTTACTTATCTTATATTATCCTATAAACTATTTTCTTAATTTTATATGCTGATCGGACAGGAGTGCCTTTCGGTGACTCACGGTCAGCCACGCTTTAAGAAGTGATTTGTAATTCAAACATTGCCCTTTTTACTGGGCTTGACATCATCGCCGCGGCCAAAAAAAAAACGACGCAATATTTATTCGGAAGGGGAGCGCCGGAAAAAAAAAAATATATGGTCATTCTTTGCTCGCCTGCGTTGCTAGGTTACATGCGCTAGGTAGCACAGCCTGTCTTTTGCGAAACCTGAAACCCAACCAGGACAAACTTGCAGTGTATGCACCTGTTTTTTTTTCTTCGTAATTAAAGTAGCATATTTCGTCAATCTAGGGGAAGTGACGTGGTAAACTCTGTAATTAGGCTCGCATATATGACTTAAACGCGGTACAGATAACCGTGAGTTACTCGACTGAAACTACCCAGGTTGGTTACATTATTTTGCCATCATTGTATCGTTGTATTGTGTATGACATATAATTGTATATATGTGTGTCACTTACGGCCAACCGTTCGGATGTGTATTAACAGTAAAATTACATTATTTTGTCAAATTTATAAATTTGTCATATTCCAATCGAAACGACTCGACTCCACAAGTAATGGATCCACACGCGTTCGATTTAACCCAGCATGTATTTAGGTATGGAACATTTTATTCCACGTGACGTTTATCTCGTTAAAACGTGCGGTGGCGACATAGTGTGTCGTTAGATTTCGGCTCACGCGATTATTAAAGAATCAGAACGCGGCTATTCGCGGTCGGTAAAATCGACGCGACGCGATATAGGTTCCAGGTGACTTAAAGCGGGAGGGTCATCACCTGCGCACGCGCAGTAATTGAGTCCCAAGCGACGATAACAACACACGCTAAACATGCAAAGGCTCATTGGTAGACGCTTGTTTGTGAACAATCACACGCTATGACCATCTGACACATGCGCAGGTGTATCTTGGTTTATTTGCATGAAATTACAATACGCGCTTCACGACGACTGTGGTTTTGCATGGCGAATGTATTAATCTGTTGGTTGTTATGACGACTCCATAGGTAGTCGTTCCACACACGTTCGAGTGAACCCTACCGGTATTTAGATATGGAACCACGATGCGACCTAAACGACCCGTGTACCTTGGTTTATTTGCATGAAGTTTCAATGTACGCTGCACGACAACGACTGTGAAACTGCGACGCTGTGTGGCGACAGCAGTGCTGCAGGATGACTGTGGTGCTACATGGTGGTTGTGATACTACATGATGAATGAGGGACAGCATTACGACTGTGACTCTGCATGGAGACTGTGAAGCTGCATGACGACTGTGACGCTGCATGACGACTGTGACGCTGCATGGAGACTGTGGCGCTGCGTGACGACTGTGACGCTGCATGGAGACTGGCGCTGCGTGACGACTGTGGCGCTGCGTGACGACTGTGGCGCTGCATGACGACTGTGGCACTGCATGACGACTGTGGCGCTGCATGACGACTGTAACACTGGATGGAGACTGTGGCGCCGCGTGACAACTGTGACCCTGCATGACGACTGTGGCGCTGCATGACGACTTTGACGCTGCATGACGACTGTGGCGTTGCAAGACGACTGTGACGCTGTATGACAACTGTGGCACTGCGTGACGACTGTAGCACTGCATGACGAATGTCGCGCTACATGGCGGCTGTGACCCTGCATTACGACTGTGATGCTGCATGACGACTGTGCCACTGCATGACAACTGTGGCGCTGCATGACGACTGTGACGCTGCGTGACGACTGTGGCACTACATGGCACCTGTGGTGCTACATGTCGACTGTGACGCTGCTTGACGACTGTGGCGCTGTATGACGACTATGGTGCTGCGTGACGACTATGGTGCTGCGTGATGACTGTGGCGCTGCGTGACGACTGTGGCACGACATGGCGCTGTGGTGCTACAAATCGACTGTGACGCTGCATGACGACCGTGGCGCTCCATGGCGGCTGTGGCTCTACATGATGAACGTGGCACTGCGTGACGACTATGGCACTGCATGATGAGTGTGTCACTGTGCCACTGAATCAGGCATCGTATGATCACTGTGGTGGTGCAACGACGACTGTGGCCCTGTGAAGACTGCTACTGCGAAGAGACACTGGTGCTGCTTAGCGACTGTTGCACTGCGTGGCGACTGTCAAACTGCATGGCGCTGCGTGGTTATTGTAGCGCTGCGTGACGACTATGAAACTGCATGGCGCTGCGTGGTTATTGTAGCGCTGCGTGGTTATTGTAGCGCTGCATGGCGACTGACGCAGTATGTGTCAACAACTAATATTTGCTCGGATGATTATTTTTGAAGTGTAATTCAATTGACTTAATCTGTCATACAACGCTTCGATTATGAGGTCATTCAACAACTTCCGCAAATAGTGCGTATATCAGGTCTTATCGCCAATCAAAATATCAATTTGTGAATATTGATTTACGAACAAATATATGGCAGGCCGCTTTTCAAATAATCTATCACTGTCTGTGTATCGACATTTACATGGATATAGGTATGTAGAGGTATATGAATACAGGTATCTGGAGTGGACTTGTCATATCGAATGGTATACTTGCCTCTAGGAATGCGATTATTCATACAAACTCTATTTACAAGGTAATTCTGAGACACAGAAATATCATCGAAAACCAGATGTTCAGATGTAACACGGCATCCGAAACATTCAAACTGCAACCGTGGGTAAATGCAATAATACGGCCTGGAACAGCAATTATACATTGAGCGGTGACGCAAATTCGCATCCGTATTTCGTCGTTGCGAGGTCTATTCGTGTATTTTGTTATGTTAACGGCTCAATCGACATTATTTCGAAATTTACAGACAACGATTGCGCCGTTAGCCCAATTGCGTTTTAAGGAACGACAAATTCCTAGTTCACGAACGAGCTACTGCAAACGGCAATCATTTATTTGGCGCCGTTCGCGTAATTCTGTAAATTTTTTTGTTTCATACATTTTTTTGGAATCCTAAATTCCCAAGCACAAAATAATGATATTGTCGAATTTAGTTTACAGTAGGATTTAACCTTGCCCTATGTTATTCACGTTTGGGGCCTAATTCTGAATTCAGAAAATCGTGGCACATCAGTTATTGTAGAGCGGCTTACATAAATTAAAACCATCTGTCATCCAATCACATTTGTGCATTTGCAGTCGTGACACACTATTGAAATATAATTGGAAGTATTGTTTTCGTCATTGCGTTGCCCAAAGTTGTCCCATTAAAACAAGTGGAACGAAACAACCTAATATTTGATTATTTTTTAGCCTTCTAATATTTATTTACTGTGGGTAAAAGTTTATGTTTGCTAAACGACTGTACATTGATATGTACTAGTATATAATTAATTAATTTAGAGTGCCAACGCGATGTCGGATTTCATCGTAAGACTACTACCCTGTTTACTGAACGTAGTGATTCGAATTATGGACTGACTAAATGTAACAGATAATACAATATGTATATACACTCCGTAACTCAACGTGAGTGTATTTTTCCCAGATACCAACACGATACTGAACGTAGTCAACAAATGACGTTAAGTCCGATTCGAGACATAATTTTACACTTAAGTGTCAAAAACATCAACTATAATAGCAATTGTTCGTAATTATACACAATTATCGTAATCATACTAACACAGAATGAAAAGAGCCCTTGTGCTTAAATATCGATTTGTTTAACTGATTGCGGAGGCTCACTTTAAAGATATGGTTTGTATTATTTTAATTTGGGACACAGTATGGGTACACTGGACATACCACATTTAAATATGACAATACAAGAGATAGATACATCGCACATCTGTTAAAAATCTCGTGACCTTCGATCTATTTGTGGGTGAATTTAATTTAAACGTATGATCGTCGGATCAGTGATCAATACATTCGCACGTCACCCGAACTATACACAGTTAGTATTTTGCCCTCGTTGAGGTAGGTTGCACAACGTTTCTTTTCTATTCTATTTTTTTTTACTTTTTGCACGCGGAATCGCTCGATTGATTTTTTTCTTTGAACTCACACGTTTTATCTGTCTACCATTATTTTTGCAATTATATTGCACACTAAGGTTTCTACCATATCCATATTTGGCGACTCATAGATGATGTGTTAAATGTTTGGATGTCAATGCATAATCACGAACCAAACACACATTATTAACTCATTAGACATTAATGGTTTTATAACCTACTCATTTCATTATTATCGGAGTGCCTACTTTAAAGTTTTATTACAATGATCGTGTTATAAACAGGAGTGTGTTTATCCGTTCAGTACAAACAGGGTCGTTTGTCGGGGCCGCCTCCTTTGTGCAGGTGCCAACACAACACAACACGACGCGAGTGTCAATTGGCGAACGACCCATATCTCAGTGCAATGCACCAACGTACACGGGAATATGCCACAGCCCGACGCAGCTATGCCTGCGTGGTTGGGGCCCTTAGATAATGTTAGTACCGCCAATCGTGAATAAAAGCAGCGTACAAAGTCACTTTATTTCTAACCATCAGAATTGATTCCACAGACAATTTAATTTAACAACACAGATTGTCAAGTTTATTGATATTATACTGCCTTCAATACTTAAAGTAAGAAAATATCAAAAACCATTACTGCTATATCGTACTACTATCAACACATTTAATTGTTTATCTGGATTTCGTATATTACAGACAATGAGTACGTCACTAGTGGGCCTGGTATTCTGCTTGACTCTTAGTTTTATGCTATGCCAAATACAAGCCTTAACTGTGGAGAATGAAGAAACAATCACATTCAGTGAGCTCAATACAATGTACGGTACTAGGTAAGTTTAATAAAGAGAGAATATCTCATTAATGATACCAGATTCATTGAACAAGCGGAGTAATTGTCATTAAAAATTAGGTTAATAAACCCCCGTTTCGCACTTTTTAACAAAGCACACAAGCGGAAACATAACTGCGGATCCGAGACTCCTTGGAGCGTGAATGGACCTGTCGCATTTGCATAAACCTGTCGCCGTTCACGAATAACGATTACTGTTTACTATGACAACATTATATGTTTATTTGTGAAGTCATGAAAAAGTTTACTGTTTCGACGATGCATTAGTAAGACAATTACTAATTTTGGAGTTTACCCGATATGTGACTTTAATGCAATTCATGAGTAATACTACTAGACTTGTTAAGTAAAATAACTTTCGTGTGTCGGGAAGTTGAGGTTGGGAGAGATTTATATCAAAAACTGTGTGAAATATTCCAAATTTCCGTTCATAAGGTTCAATCTCCTTTCCTGCAAATTAGATTACTAAAACTACTGTTAAAATAGTATGGAAATATCGATAATAATCTCACTGATTTATAACACGGAAATGTAGGATAAACGACCGTTCCAATATACGTGGTGCAGAGTACAATTTCAGAGTAGAGATGACCATTAAGGCAATTTACGGATTAATATCAACATGGATACTCATATATATATTTATTGAGTTTCCGATTTGATGTCGGATACTCCTCTTAGTGTTTTTTTTTTCATATTAGTTATATATAAGTATATCTCCATGTTTGAACTGTCCGCCCAGTATTTCACTTTGGGGTCGGATTGTAAATTATTTCGGGTATGTATCCTACATTTAAAATGCGTCCATATGGCTTTATGAATCAAACAAATTTACGTTTGTATTTTATGTTTGTTTTAGGACTCTTACTGACTGGCAGGGTAAGTGGACAAGCGAAACAATTCACGCGTGCGGATCGAATCTGTATCGTATCTCCGAGTACGTCTGTTACGTGGACATACATAAATCCCCAGACCGGAAAAGAACTGATGATGGTAGGCATAACCTTGAATATTTATAAATATGACGCTGCGTGACGACTATGGCGTTTACAACAACTATGGAACTGTAAGACGACCATGACGCTACTTGGCGACTGAAACCTGTATGGCTACTGTGGAGCTACGTAGCGACCGTGGCGCTACTTGACGCCTGTGACGGTGCATGGCGACTTCAGCGCTGCGTAACGACTGTGACGCCGCATGGCAACCGTGACGCTGTGTGGCGACTGTGACGCTGATTAACGACTGTGATGCTACGTGACTACTTTGCATAACGACAGTGACGCCGCGTGGCGACTGTGGTACTTTGTGACAACTGTGGCGCGGATTAGCGACTGTGATGATGTATAACGACAGTGACGCCGTGTGGCAACTGTGTCACTGCATGGTAATTGTGGCGCTTACAACAACTGTAGTACTGCGTAATCACTTCGGCGATGCGTGTCGTCTGTAGTGCTGTGAGACGGCAATGACTTCGCAAGACCACATTCTTGGGATTCCACCACCATGTCTTGGCGTGTGCCCGGATTTTCATTTTTAGGAATAACCAATCATTTGCAACTGTACATGCCCGAATTTAAGTCACAAATACCCTATAAATGTCTATATTTGTCATTCGATTTGCAAATACTGCAATTCGACAACTACGTTATTACTCGATCATTCTCGTATATTTTTGGAAAATGCGTTTTCATCAAGTCTGGAAATATAAGCACATGTGGCTTATCTAATTACAAAAAAAAAATAAAAAAAAAATGAGATCATTTTTAAGACAGAAAAAACGTTTACCGATAATGAGCTGCGCCAGCAGGGTATAGGTAGTATCAATATGGCATCGTGCGTACAACTCAGTGTTGTCCCGGTATGCCGTTCCGCTCCTTCCTAAACGTGAAAAACTTACATTGCCCTTGCCACAGCAAGAAGTGAATTGCCACGAGACATCTGAAAACCGATCTTCATCCCAGATTTGTAATTGGTTCTTCGTCTGACGATCTGCTTAATAATGAATAGATGTGAATAAAAGTCGGAATGAATACGAGCGCCGCTGATGACAAGCAAAGTTCGCTGCTATGACATTGTAATACGACAGTACGGGTTTTTCCCATTTAATTAAAATAAAGTCCCTACTTTTTTCATAAGTGATATGGGAATTCCCCCGTTCTCCCCCTCCCGACAATACAAGTCGTTATGGTATACGAATCAGACACGACTATGCTATTGATATCCGGTTGATATCATAGAGAATTACGTGCTTTCTGCACAAGTACATTGTTACTGATACGAATTGTTATATGTGTTATCAGTAACACACGCAGTATCTTCTCGAATCCTGTGTCGAATGTTCAAATTCGGTCGACGTGCATCTACTGTGAGCATTTGAGTCATCAAATAGTCTTGAGTATAGACAACATGTAAAATGAAAGGATGAGTCGTAAACGTTATTGTTGCAATGTTTGAACTCTTCGCCAGTGCTCGATGAATCTACAACCTTAATAGCATACTAACTACGCATGAAATATGTTTGCATATATGTTATTTTTTGTGTGTTTGTACTCAGATATTATATACATTGGTATTAACAAATATATTTCTAAACAATTGAATTGATTTTTTGGTGAAACAGTTGTGCGTAAGGTCAGCTGGCTTGAATGACCTGACAGCAAAAAATGTCAGGCAGTTCGTGCAAGTCGTGACTATCTGTATTACCGGGGTAATATTTGCGGTACACACCATTTCGTGTTTTGGTTGAAATTGGTAGACTGATTTTGTTTATTTTTGTTGTTTATTTCTTACTGTTTAACTCGTGACGAATTTGATGCTGATTCATCGTCATGGTAACCACGAGTTTGGTTATATCATTGTCTGGAAGATTAAAAACGTAATTACTTGAAATTCGATTCGAATTTTAAGGTTTCCCGATGAGACTGGAAATGAAAAAATAATGCTCCCTAGGTTATTTCCACACACACGTTATTTCCCGGCGCCGCAAGTAATTATCTTTCCGTTGTTGTCTGAGCCACATTGTGATTGTCATTGAAGGTTTCTGTAGCATGGTATTTTTTGTCGAACTACGTCATCATAAAATCTGTCATTCACGTTTGTTTAGACCCATTCATAGTTCGTCCATCAAAAACATTTTGTTGTTCTTGATCGTAGTTGGTTGTTATTGAACATCTAACTATGAAATGTACATCCAAGTATCCATTTCACATAACACAAAGTACAAACGTTCGACTTATAGTACTGTCTCAAGACAATGTGCAGTCGGTTTAATTTAAGTAAACATATGATATTAAACAAGTTCTGATTTATATTGCATCTTCAATAACTTGGTTTTTTTTTGCAATTATCCTTGAGAAATGGAAAATTTTCATTTTCAATTCCGCCGGAGCTATACGGCAACTTGAAAATTTTACGAAAACAAGTCTTGTTTCTCTCTCACTCTTAACGATATATCGGCGATCATTTGAGCTTGAAGTATATTATAACGAATAAACGTCATATTACAGTGTGCCACATTTTTCTCAGTGTTAGATGAATTGAAAATATGGAAAACAAATGAAAAAAACTAAATATTATTATGATTTATACTTTTTGTTGCAGCTTTCGTTGACTCGGCAGTGGCTCATGATTTTCTGAGAGGGCTTATGGAAAAACGAACATTAAGACGATATAGAAGGACATCTGCTACCAGCGAGTGCTGCGCCGACGACGGAGGTTGTGTCTGGGAAGAATTGGCAGAGTACTGCACTCACCAACGGGAAGTCAGAACGATGGACGAATAGAGCGTATTCGGGATTTCCAGACCTGTTCTTGAAGAAGGGGGGAGTTGCTCGATATTTGAGTTTATAGTGGATCAACTATTATGACGGCTTGGTGTGTACTTAGCGGGTTTTGTAGTGTCGGACCACTAACGTCATCTAACTAAAAACACTGCTGCCACTAAAATGCATGTGAAACATTAAGTTGATTTCGGAAAGACGAGAAAAAAAACAACAACAACACAAAAGCTAACTCTACTCCCTTGAATTATAATGGTTGATCCCAGATCGTGAGGCAGTGCCTTATCAGAAATACATTTTTTAGTTTCTTAAAAATCTATTTTTCGAAGGAGTGCGAAAGTTTACTTCCTCGAGAATATTTTTTTTCTTCCCTAAATCCACCTATTTGCAATCATTCATATTCGTATTGGTGCTTTTTAACTTTCCACGATTTGTTCCTTTTTTAAGGTCATCCGCAAAGCATCACGGTAGATTATGTCATGTTAATGGCGCACATCATTTTCATCATTATTCCTTGAAATACAGGAAATCACACATCATCTCATATGCTTGATCGTTTACATGGTTTATTGATTTGCACGACCTAGATGATCCTCCTCCCCGCTCAGCTAATATGAATTCGCAGCAGTATACTGTTGTTGTTTTTGTTTTTGTTTGTTTTTTAGTCTGTAATCGATCAATTAATCAGTTGGCACGACGTGGTGCGACGACTTTGACAGAAAAGTCACCCAATATCGGTAAAAGATTGCTTATAAAAAAATATTTCGTCTCGTGTATTTATATTTATTACATTTATTGTTTAGTTCTATATTTCTATCTGGTTTTACGTTTCTGCTCGAAATGTTTACGTCAGTATTTTTGTCTTATTAAGTCTATTAGTAATTGATTTTATTGTAATATGTCCGTGAACAATGACTTCACAGTAAGCTTCCGATTGTTAAAAACGTGAACCAGATTTGCCCTTGAAGGATTTGTTGTTATCGACATGATTGACATTCACGTTAGTTCACTTGTATTGCAATTAAAACGAAATTACTGTCATTGTGGGCAAGCCCTTAGATTTATTGAATCTGTTCCGTTTTCTATAAAGACGATACAAATTGTCTGGGAACCCGACGCGGTGTGAGCAGCTATACACTACGTTTAGTTGTAAGCAAACACGTGCATTCTAAAAATCAACAACACTTGTGCTTTATCGATCGATAAATCGATTGGGTAATATACATCATCCCATCAATTTATGATTTATTACAGTAAGGTTAAACACGTACAAACTTGTTGGTTTAATACGACATGTGGCGTAAATATAATATGCATTGTGTTGTTAGTACTTTGAAAATATAATAAAAATAAATCGATATAAAACTCTCCGATGTTACAATTACCGTGGCAATAGGAGTAGGTGTGATTCTCACTAAATACTGCTAAATCTCAGGGAGCTCAGTTTGAATTATGTTATATATATATGAACAGTAATAAGACCATTTGATAGACAAGTTAGAAGTTGAATATATAATATACATATATTGATCATTTTGGATTCGTGACTTTCACATTGTGTCAGAACTACGGCAAGTATACTCAAAGAACAGATTCAATGTTAATTGATCGATTTAAATAATTGTTTTTAAAATGTATTTTATTGTTGGTATATATTTACATTCGTATCTGTTATTTTTTTCTCCATCATGTTTTTTTTTCAAGTTACTGAGATATACATTTTTTGCTTTTGTGGTGGCGGTTATGCATGTGAAATAGTGATTGCAAGGTTGTATTTTGGACATATTTTGCACGGACGCACAGTACAACATTTTCCCGATTGTCATTTTAAATTTCAACAAGCATTATACTATTTTGAGTCTGTAGAAATAAAAGTAAATGACAGTACAGTTGATTAAATTCAGCGCGGAAAAGAGCCAGGGGAATATTTCGTTCCTCGAAAATAGATTGCAAATAGTCCGTCAGCTCCTGAATACACTCCTGCAACAGAATGCAAATTTACCATTCAGTCGGGCATCTAACACACTATTGTATAACCCTCTCCCCATTCGCTGCTTGTTGCAGAGCTTCCATGATTACCAATTTGTCGTGGTAGCCTGTGACGTCACCAGTACAATTTGTAACGTTTTTCTACTTTGTGCATGTGCTTGGCAGTCTCGCATAACAATATGTCGTCACGACCATTTTTAAATCTAATAATGTAATATTAATTAGTCAATTGTACGTTGTTTGTTTATTCCTTTCTCAATACACACTGAAAAACGCATGTACCATTTATTTATTTTTCTTATTATTGGAAACCGCATCAAATAAAAAAATGTAATTTAAAGCTTGGTCTGGTGTTTTAATTAATTAATGCATGTACGTGTGAATTGAACAGAAGGTTCTACTTTCCAAGCCTGCATACAAAGAAAAATATATAAAAATAAATAATGTATGTGTTATTAACAAGGTTTAAAAATAAAGACTACCAATTGTATCTGTAATATATTATGTAGGCCACATATAAGAACATGATAGCGAGGCTATATCTGCAGATTGAATGATTTTTTTGGCTAACATTATATAAATCGTTTTATTCAAAACAAATACAAAAGACAGTGTGTTACTTATGCAAATTGAAAAAAAAACATGTTTCTCAATTTTTTTGCCCATTTCAAACGTTAATAAATATGACATACCATTTTTATTCCACACTGCAAATAAAGTGGATACATATAGGTTAATTGTATACATAAATCATGAGATTACTCCGCAGTCAGCTGGTAAAATTGAAATATATTTTGGTCCAAACAAATAATAATGAGAAAAGCTTGCATACATAATAGATCAGTTATTTTTCATAATTGGGTTAGACGTTAATATTCTTACGTACAGTCTCCTTGCACGCAGTCGCACTTACGTTTTACGTGCGCGCGTGCTCAATACCTGGTTGAAACCAGTCGAAGGTAAAATAGCGGCGTCGTTTGCTGCCGTTGTTATAAAACAACTTGAGGGCAACGTTGTCACGACAGATCGTGAACTAGTGCTGACCAGAAAGCGACATTTGTTATCAGAAACTTTCGTGTGCTGGTTGTTATAATTATGACGTAACAGTACGACGGCAAAAGCGCGCTTTTCTCGACAAATATATAATTCTGTATGTTGTGTTGTTAGATCAGTTCAGCGGGTAGTACAATTCTAGATCATTTTTCTTGGTTCGATGTCAGATCATGAAAAAGCTCACCATTGTTACATATGCTTAGTGCTGCATATAGTACGTTAAATAAATTAGCTTCTCTGATGTTTCTAATAAGCCAGTATTACTGCTTCCATTTCTGCAGACAGGTTCTTTAATGGGATTGCAACTCTTTGTCCTCTGTGTTTATGCCCGGGGAAATTCTGTGTCAGCATCCTTATGTTACAAGTTTTCAACTGAATATTTGAAAGAATCCCATTTCATCAATGATTATTATTTTGGAATTATTAATACGTTGTATCACGTGCTTAGCATCATTGTTTCAACAATATTTATAATCCATTATATTTGCCCCCCCCGGAGGGTGGAATAGTTCATACGCAGTGCACAGGCAAGCATTTTCCATATTGGTGCAAGATGTAATATACCATTTTCATTCTTTGAAAAATTAACAATACACAGTATTTCCGCAATTTGTGTATGAAATCTGATATAATATTGTAAATTTTGGTGCATGCTGAAAATTGAGCTGCCTGTTGGTAACTAACTGTTTTGATATAATGTACACTTTCGAATGCAGTATTTATTCGGCTGTCTTGGTCACTATGTTGCAAGCATCGACACATGACTGAAATCACCCAAAGGTAATCTCATTAACATATCATGTGCATAATTTGAGTAAGCGTAATGTTCTGACGGTAATTCACCATTTCTGTGAGTCGCGCCCTCTAATGGCAAAGCGCCCCCGTGACGTAAAAGGGTGACGCAAAAAAGCTGTTTAAATAGTCGATATCATTCTGATCTTCAGTGTACCAGAGTGTACCAGATTGTACAAGAATGTACCTGAATGGGAGATCTTCAGGGGTAACGAAGTGAATTAGTGAATGTATGTTTAAAAATGAATAACAACATTTGAGTCTAATTTGACACTCAATTTACTACATTTTGTCACATAAATCTACTTGATGTGCACTCTTTTGAAAACAATTAGCATACACTGTATATAACGGAGTGTATAGATTAGAAAAATCAATATTGATTTTTGTTTTTATAAAATATTGCCGCTAAGAACTTGCAACCATACATATTCATAATCTACAGAAAAAAACATGCTATAGGACAAAAAGTAATTCCTGCGCAAGTGATACCAAATAAACGATCGTTCCAGACTAATAAGTGAAGATTTACCGTATTGCAATCATATGGTCATCTACAATTCATTGAAATGATATACGGAAGTGACGTCATATAGTGTTCTAAAAAGGTGTCTATATTTGCATCTGCTGGTGAAACATGTTATTTATTCTGGATGGTATGTTATTGGCCAGTGTAATATGTATTCAAAGTACATTTACTATAGCACTCCTAAAAGATAACATTACCCACCAACAATGCCACAAAAAAGAATAAATGTACAAAATCAGTTCATTAATTTTGATTTCAACGTTCCGGAATTAGGACAATTTAGTGCAAATGTATTAATTATTAGAATTCAAAGTAGTAGCTTAGCGATGAGTGGCTTTTGCGGTTGCTGGCTTTCACAGTGATTTCGTCTTTCGTTGTGAATAGGGCTTTGTCGCAGTAACTGGTTCATTCGTCGGAGTTGAGAATTAATAATCTGTAATTTGTTGCTTGGTGAACCCATGAAATTAAAGGAGATTCAGACAAAATGACGTTGTTTATGCTATTGCATGTGCAGATCTAGATGACCGATGAGTATGGTTAATTCCATTAATTGGTTGTACATTTTATTTTTATATACAAATATCTACTAATACATACTATGTTTATTTTTGATATATAACTGTTTATTTTGAATTGATTT